TAATGTTTATTACCGTGACTGTAAACTGACACTTATTAATAATAAGTGTTAAAGAAATAATAACAGCGTATTCGTTTTTAAAAGGCCGGCAACGCACCTGTGGCTCTACTGGTGTTGCGGGTGTCCATGGGCGGCGCTGATCGCTTACCATCAGGTGATCCATCTACTCGTTTGCCTCTTATTCCATAAAAAAAATATTGTGTGCATTTTTTTTAAACGTACGGGTACGTTTACAAACATACAAGTTCACATACACATGACACCCAGACCCCGAAAAACGATCACACAAAGAGTTGTTCCGTGCGGGAATCGAACCCACGACACGTTGCGCGGCAGTCAGTATCCCAACCACTATGCCAACCGTGCAGTCATGACAGACCATTGTTTATATTTCGGTGAATAAAAACTGTAATCTTATATTATTTTTTTACTAAACACGTTAAAAATTAACATACCTAATGAATGACCAATGAAGTTAATTCCGCTACATAATTACGATTACTTTAAAATTAAATAACACTTTAATATGAATATATTATGTACCTCAACTTGTGAAATGGATTCGTGATCACCTTTATTTCACAGGCGACATTCCTACTTACGACCAAGTGAACAAAATTTCACTTTCTGGTCATAAAAACCGGATCAGAATGAATGAAGTACACACGGCAACACATCGAGCTTTACATAGCCAGTATAAACTGAACGTTAAATGTACGGAAAGATGATGCGACGCGACACCAGGATAAACTGGTTTTGTATAGATTCATGTGTGGCCGTGTGTACTTTCCTATACAAAATTTCATTTATTCATGTGGGTACGTATCATGTATTCTGAGAAATTATGAATTTGAAACGAAAGAAGGCTGAGATTATAACAACTTAGTACCTAAGTTAGAAATATATTTAAGTCCTCCGTAATATTTATTAGTATTCATTTATTTATTTACTGATTGACTGCCTCGTTGGCCGAGTGGTCGCGAGTGCGACTGCCGGACAAGGGGTCTTGGGTTCGATTCCCGGGTCCGGCAAAGTATTACTGGGTTTTTAAAAAATCTTAGTAGTAGCACGGAGCCTGGAAATGTGCCCGGTATATGGCAATAGGCTCACCCCCAATTACATGGGACTCATAACATAAATAGTGAAAAGTGGGTGTTACATTGTACAGTGGCATTAAGTGCCGTAATGTGCACCTCTGCCTACCCCTTCGGGGATAAAAAGGCGTGATGTTGTGTTATGTTATTTATTTATTTAATAATAAAAATTGCTATGTATGCCTTATAGTTTAACACCATGTCCAACAAAACTATACATAAATAGTTTGACTGTTGGATCTTTTACATTATTTTGTTTTAAATATGCCTAGTAAAATTTTCTAGTTAGACAAAATAATCTATTGGCTAAATCTAGTTTATACCCTACTCAAACTTAATACTGAGAAATGAATTTGAAGTGATACTAAAATATATTTTGACAATTAAAAAAGACCAGTTTTAAAATAATATTTCCTTAAAATTGAACTACTACTATACAAAAATATTATCTGTATAGATAAATAAAATTGGAGTGTCTGTTTGTAATACTGAAATAACCGCTTTTTACACACGATATACCAAAATAACATTTTTTTTTGTCTGTAGGTTTGTACTGGCTAATCTTAGAAATGGCTGGAACAATTTTGACTTTTACTGGCAGGTAGCTGATGTACTATGGAGTAACATAGGGTATTTTTATTTTAGAAAATTAAAACAAAAAAGAAGTTATGTCTTAAAACTAATATTCTACGGGGACGAAGTCGCGGGCAACAGCTACTTATGATTATCATAACAATACTAGACAAAAAATTGTTAAGTATAATATATTTCAGCCGTAACCGAATAGTAAAATAAGATATTCTATAACTATTTTTAATGATCATTATTATTATAATAAATTATACATACTATATTATTGTGTATCGACCGTGACTTCAAGTTAGTGTAACAGCTGGGCTAGAAAATTACCATTCTTGAATATAGCGAGGTATATAAATTGTATATTCTATTTATTATCATCATCATCAACATCAAATCAGCTACAAGACAGGCCTTCTTCATATAACAATAGATAGGTACCATGTTGGTGATTTTTTTTATAGCATAAGCCGGTAAACGATCAGACGGATCACCTGATGGTAAGCAATCGGCGTCGCCCATGGACACTCGAAACACCAAGGCGTTACAAGTGCGTTACCGGCCTTTTAGGAATTGGGAATTTGAGGATTGTGAAATCTATTTGATACTTATAAATTTAGATTTAAATAATTAATAAATTCATCGCTTGTGCCCGGTATATGGCAATAGGCTCACACCCTATTACATACTCTTATTTTGAAGTCGGTTAATGAATATACTAAAATCTTCTCCTAAGTGTAAAAAAGACTTCTTATCTAAAAATCACATTAAAATATCAAAACGCAAAGTAAGAACCTCATTTTTCTCTTACTGAAGTTTATTAAACTGTCAAATACCAAGCGGTCACCGGTGACCGCAGCCTATTGTTCTTTAATTGTGTCTATAAATACGGTACTCGACGAGTTAATACGTATGTAAAAAATAAAAATCGTTAATGTAGTAAAAGAGATAGTTTTCATTAGGTTTAGGCACTTAACCCGTCCTATGTCTAAACGTGGATCCACGGAGACACAATGTATTTTCTATTGTGTCTCATCATATCGGTGCATTTAATTCCAGTGGTTAAAAGACGACGTAGACATAGTGACTCTTTCGGAGTCGCGGAGAACCTAACGGGTTACCGGGGCCCCGGCTCGAAGCGCAGGCGAAGGAACGGCGTGGTTTTTAGTCAGTAAGATTCTGACACGCCCTCCCGCCTCACCTAGGCGGGAGCAGTCATTCGATGATTTTCCCCCCTTAAATACAAAAAAAAAAGACATAGTGACTCTAAACTTTGATATAAGTATTTCATTAATTAGATGTAATAGCATGTACAATCTCTTCATTCATGTACAAAAAGTTACAATAAAATATTCTGTGTGCGTTGATAAAAACCTGATTATAATTATTAATGTAGGTAAGCAGGCTGCTTAGATTTGTATAAAACGCTAGCTGAATGCTAAATATCTCGGTCACAAACTTTCTTTTATGGATTTTTTTGCAAATACTTAGTTTCTTGCTTTTTTTTCGAAACCTCATAACTTGCGTTTTTATTATAATTGTGTATTCGTTATTTTTTTTAACTGACTTCGAAAAAAGGAGATTCTCAGTTGGACCTGTAAGTTTGTATGTTTGTGCGTGATTATTCTTTAAGTGTGGGAGAGCCATGCTTCGGCACGAATGGGCCGGCTCGACCGGAGTGATACCACGGCCTCACAGAGAACCGACGTGAAGCAACGCTTGCGTTGTGTTTTGTCGTGTGAGTGAGGTTACCGGAGGCCCAATTACCTTCCCCTTCCCCAATCTCCCCAATCCCTGAATCCCCAACGATCCTCAAACTCCTAATCCCCAAAAAGCCGGTGACGCACTTGTAACGCCTCTGGTGTTCCAGGTGTCCATGGGCGACGCCGATTGCTTTCCATCAGGTGATCCGTCTGCTCGTTTACCGGCTTATATCTTAAAAAAATATCTCGTGATTGGCTGAAACGTTTTTATGTGGTTTTCATACAAGTGTTTGCTACACTTAGAAGAAGGTTTATGTATATTAATTAACCGACTTAAAAAATTAAGGTGTGAAGTAGTTTTTTTATACGTAGTTTATAAAAGAGTTATTGCATATTGCTATAATAAATGTAGAAGGCACTTTTTGTTATTATTTGTTAACTGAAATACTATCAGCGCTTCACAATGAAAAGACACCTAATTTCATTTATACCATTAAAAAATAACATTCTATTACGATTGGACGGTAGCTAAAATTACCAAATTTTGGATAGTACTCCAGAATGTTGTATATTGCTTTTATATCCATCCGTTTAGGTATAACAAACACGGTTAACATCATCTAGCGTACGGCACTCAAAGAGCCATCAGACCACCACAGATGGGGCCCAACAGAGCTGATGCCGATTCGGAGTCGCGGAGAACCTAACGGGTTACCGGGGCTCCGGCTCGACGTGCAGGAGAAGGAACGGGGTGGTTTTTAGTCAGTAAGAGTCTGACACCAGTCTCACCCAGGCGGGAGCAGTCATTCGATGATTTTCTCCCCTTTAAAAAAAAGTATCCATAATACTTAACCTTATACCTCCACCTAATAAGGGGCAATCATAGTTAGGTGTACTAAGGTGAAATCGTAAAGTTATCCTTCAGTAACTTCTAAATTATTCTTCATTACGCAATTAAGATTTCATTTAACGATTGTTAAATGTATCAGCAGTTCAACATGAAACGGAAAACGGATCTTATGTGAACATTTTGATTTATGTTTCCATGTGAAGATTATCGGAGGCCCAATACTCTTCCCTCCCATCCATATGTTTTTGTTTATTTACGCTTCATGATAAAATGTACATTAGGTGGACTTAATGCCGCAGGCATTTTCTCCCAGTCTAGCCTTTGAGTGATGCAGAGAAGAATAAATGGTAGGAGCAAGAAGCAAGCAACGATTTAATTGAACAAACCGAATAGAAGATATACTTGCATATTTCAGAGATAAACATGAATAAATATAATTATAATATATACAGACGAGTACAATATACATACATTTAAACATACATAATATGTAAATATACATAATTAATCTCCAGAAATCCTTCAAAACACTCGTAACTTTAACAATATCTATGTGTGACGTCAATTGCTTACCATCAACTGATCCATCCGCTCATTTGCAGAGTCGGCCATCTATTTGGTTCTAGGTTTGGAGACACAGCATAACCATGGTCAGTGTCGCCCACAACTTCAGCTTATATCGACCCTAGTGGGGCCCCATCTGTGGTGATCTGACGGCTCTTTCAATTAGTCGTTCTTAGGTTTTGAACTAATTAACAATATTGTCTTCTCCAGTGGGATGCGAGATCAGCTCGGACGTGACATTGCTGGACTTCCTCCGCAACTACCTCCAGCTGCGTGGCACTAAGTACATGTGCCGTGAAGGTGGCTGCGGAGCCTGCATGGTTACTGCTGCCAAGAGTCCTGGATCTCCTCATGTTGCTGTCAATTCTGTAAGTATGATCTAAATTACTTTCAAATGTTTCTATGGGGAGAAACTGTCTATTAACTCATTATAGGGTTTTATTTACGAAATAAGCCAGTAAACGAGCAGACGGATCACCTGATGGAAACCCATATGGAATGGCCCATAGACATTCGAAACACCAGAGGTGTTACAAGTACGTTACTGGCATTTTAAGGATTAGGAATTTGAGGATTATTGGGGATTCGGGGGTTGTGGAGATTGGGGAGGAGACTAATTGAGCCTCCGGTAACCTCACACATACGACGAAATACAACGCAACGTTTATGTTTCACGTCGGTTTTCTGTGAGGCCGTGGTATCACTTCCGTCGAGCCGGTCCATTCGTGCCGAACCATGGCTCTCCCATACTATAAATGATGCAATAGAATTGTACGTTTCACTAACTCGGTGACCAGGTTTGGGTTTGATGTTTAAGTTAATCTAGTATTTGCGATAGCACTCACGATAGGTAAAAATACTATGTATTACGGTGCCTAAAGTGTGAAGTAACGATATTTTTTGTATAGAAATATAATGAAAATCAGTCGGAATTATTAAACTTCAGTTTTCCTCCTCGAACAAATAAAATATAATAAATAATATGGCGTAATAACAAATAGGCATATTAATAATGAAAAATATTTACTCTCAAAATAAGTAATAAAACCTCAAATGTTAATTGGTCTGAAACAATGATTTCAATATATGTCGTGGTGGCCCGGAGGTTTAAGACGCCTACTTCTCATGCATGAGGGTGCGGGTTCGAAACCTACCAACGGCAAGTACCAATGTGACTTTTTCCGAGTTATATGTACTTTCTAAGATTATTTAGGCACCACTGACTAACGGTGAAGGAAAACATCGTGAGGAAACCTGGACTTATAATTTCTAATTATAAGTTTGAAATCGCCAACCCGCATTGAGCAAGCGTGGTGATTAATGCTCTAACCTTCTTGTGTGAGAAGAGGCTTTGCTCAGCAGTGGGCATTTATAGGCTGTTGATGATGATGATGAATGATTTCAATGTTAGTTATTGAAATATGTAATTATAACGCAGTTGTATCAATTAATCAACACGACATGTGTCAATACCTTTTGTTAGTATACTACATCACAATAATACAACCAGAAACTTCGGAATCCTGAATGAAAAAAACAAACAATGATACCAGTATTATATTACCTTATGAAGACAATGATGGATATTTTAATCATCTAAAAGATATTCTGAAATGGTGATCGGCGATCAGTAATATTACCTATGACTACTTATGCAGCTACTAACTTACTTTTTGCCAGTTGATATGACTTAAGTTAACAGGTTATAAGCTCATTACTCCCCTTCCCCAATCTCCTCAATCTCTGAATCCCCAAAAGGTCGGTCACATACTTGTAACGCGTCTGGTGTTTCGAATATCTATGGGCGGGGCCGATTGCTTACGCCTAGGTGAACCGTCTGCTCATTTATCGGTTAATTCCATAAAATAAACAAATAGAAGCACAGGAGCATGTTCAAATTTTTAATCTGTATCTCTATAGATATTAATTAATTTGCAGTTTTAAATTACTGTATTCTTTTTTCAGTGTTTGGCATCAGTCACCTCCTGTGAAGGCTGGGACATCACGACCATAGAAGGTCTAGGAAACAGAAAGATAGGCTACCATCCTATACAGACGACACTTGCAGAAAACCATGGGTCACAGTGTGGCTACTGCACTACTGGATGGGTCATGGCGATGCATGGGTTCGTATGTCATAAATTAACTCGATTCTTAAAAGAAAACGAATGAAGATTTATCAAGTGGATGGGATTTTAAGTTGCGAAAAAGTATTTGGTTACTGGATGAATTTTTTATTTTGGTTTATAGTTTGGTTTGTTAAGTCAAGATGTTAAAAAAATGTGCATTTGTCTGATTCCATTAACCAAGTAAGCTCCCAAAGCTCAATATGCTCATTAATGCAGTCCAGCAATGGGAGTCCTAGACTATATATTTATAAACTCTTTTCGATACAAAATAACACTTTTCTAGAACATCTGCTCGTAACTTAGGTAACAAAGTACACGTGTTCTAAAAGAACATGTTTAAAGGCATTCTATTAACAATTGAATTGCTCAATTGAAGCTGCGCGTTCGTATTAAAATGTGTAACAGTAGGTACCTTTACTTTTTATTTAATCATCTATCTTTTCCAATTCCAGTTTCCTAGAAACCAAGAAAAATGCCACCATGTTGGAAGTAGAAAAAGCATTCGGCAGTAACGTGTGCCGCTGTACAGGCTACAGACCTATATTGGAAGCCTTTAAGAAATTTGCCAAAGACGCTCCAAAAGACCAGAGGATTTTGGACATTGAAGACTTGCAGATATGTAAGAAGTCAGGGAAGACTTGCAATAAGTCTTGTGATGAAGATGAGTGGTGCCTGGTTCATGAAGATGACGTTAAAGATGAGGCTAAAAGGATATTGTTAGCTGATGGTAGAATTTGGTACAAGCCAAGATGGGTTCGTGATGTTCTCGATATACTGGCGCACGAAGGAGTGCAGTCCTATATGCTGGTAGCTGGTAATACTGCTAAAGGTAATTTAATTGTTAAACTGTATTCAAATGTCCTTAAAATGTCCTTTAATTTTGTGAATGTGAATGAAAAAAATGAGATTATTAGTGCAAATGATTATTAAAAAATAATTGTATCATACTCAAAAAGGTATTCTAATAACTTCGTGATTTCTTTAATTTCAAGTGGTCTAATATGATCTGATTTTTGCAGGAGTCATACCCATAGACGAGTATCCTCGTGTCTTAATAGACGTCAGCACACTTCAGGAGCTCAAAGTAGTTACTTATGATCAAAACCTCATAGTCGGTGCTAGTAATACACTCACAGATTTTCTTGAAATTCTGAAGGCAGCATCTGAACGGGAATACTTTGGATATTTGATAAATCTCTACAACCACATTGATTTGGTCGCACATATACCTGTCAGAAACGTAAGTTAGTTTAAAAATATTATACTTAGTCTTAATACTCCTGTCGCGGAGAACCTAACGGGTTACCGAGACTCCGGCTCGACGTGCTCGGTTTTTAGTCAGTAAGAGTCTGACACTCCCTCCGGCATCACCCAGACGGGAGCAGTCATGATTATCCCCCTTAAAAAAAAGTTTTACTACTCCTATATATAACACAATAGCAGTATGTTTCAAGTTAGTGAAAATGTTTGTTTTCTAATTACAGTTGGGTACAATCGCAGGCAACCTGATGATCAAACACAGGGACAACTCCTTCCCGTCTGATATATTCTTGGTGTTGTATACTATAGGAGCTCAGGTTACTATCAGTAAGTAAAAGGGTTTTATATAATACAAGCACTTATTTCGGAAACAATGGTTACACCGATTGTACCGATAGAATACTAAGCAAAATGTATAATTCGTTCTAAAAGAATCAATATTACCCGCTAAGAAGTAAACAATATTTTTAGTTTACTGACATCTTAAATATTGACAACATCATGCCTTTTGTCCCCGACAGAAGGCGTGATGTTATGTTATGTGTGGTCTAGGCAGAGGTGCACATTATGCCACTGTACAATGTAACACCCACTTTTCACTATTTATGTTATGAGTCCCATGTAATAGGGGGTGAGCCTATTGCCATATACCGGGCACAATTCCAGACTCCGTGCTACTACTGAGATTTTTTTTTTAAAAAGCCCAGTAATACTTTGCCCCACCCGGGAGTCGAACCCGAGACCCCTTGCCCGGCAGTCACACTTGCGACCACTTGGCGAATGAGGCAGTCTTAAGGATTTAAAAATCTAATAATTGTTACTATAATTTGATTACAGCTGATATCACCAGGGCAACATTGACAGTATCGATGGACACCTTCCTAAAGATAAATATGACGGGGAAAATTATTCTAAATGTGATGCTGCCACCGTTGAGCGATGAATACAAATTTTTCTCATATAAGGTAAGGAAATATTTCACTAAAATTAAAGTTTAATGTTCTTGGTATTTAATAGTTATCGATTATAGTAACCTGGATATTTGTTTTACACTTGGAATAAATTCAATTTTGATTTTTTTATGAAAACATTGCCCCGCGCTATGATTTTCTCCTGTGTCGTGGGTGCGTTTACAAGCATACAAGCTCACGCCCGGAATAACAATTTGTGGATCACACAAAGAGTTACTCCGTGCGGGAATCGAACCCGTTACGAGTTGCGCGGCAGCCGGTTACCCAGCCACCGCGACAACCGTGCAGTTGAATGTATGATACATGTAACTGTATAAATTAGATTGCGATTGCAAGATGTGTATAAAAATATATTAGTCTTTAAGAAAATAATTAACATACTGATTATGTTAAGTAAAATCGCGGGTTACTCACGTGAATATACTGAGAAAAGCTCTACTAGTTTCGAACAACAGAGGGGCTCTATCTCCAGTGAGCTGCGTGACGTCGCCGCGACCGCGCACGCTGCTCATGAACTTTTTTCAGTATATTCACGTGAGTAACCCGCGATTTTACTTAGTTTAGTATGTCTTACGAAAGTTATTATACTGATTATGTGTCGCGGAGAACTTAACGGGTAACCGGGGCTCCGGCTCGACGTGCAGGAGAAGGAACGGGGTGGTTTTTAGTCAGTAAGAGTCTGAAACTCCCACCCGCCTCACCCAGGCGGGAGCAGTCTTTCGATGATATTCCCCCTTAAAAAGTAAATACTGATTATGTATTTTCAGCTAATGCCAAGAGCGCAAAGTGCGCACGCCATCGTCAACATGGGATGTCTGTACAAACTAACTGCTACCAACAGAGTGGACAGAGCTAGGATTGTATACGGAGGTCTTTCACCCAAGTTCTTAAGAGCAGTGGCCACCGAGAGCTTCTTACTTAGAAAGCCGTTGTTCGACAATACCACGTTACAAGGAGCCCTAGCAGTGCTGGAGGGAGAGATGATTGTGGAGCCAAAGCCACCAGAACCTTCTGTGGAATATAGGAGATTCTTGGCTAAGTCTTTGTTCTTTAAGGTAAGATATCTGGTTAATTGGTTAGAATACAAGCATTATTTAAATTTTTATGCCTATAAAATACTCTACAGTGTATAAAAACAATAGTACATTAATTATTAAGTTCTCCCCTTACTCACGGAACTGTTTTTCAAAATTATAGTCGAGTTCCTAGTCAAACGGTTACGTGAGTAAGTCGAAAAACATAACATCATAACATTACGCCTTTTATCCCCGAAGGCGTAGGCAGACGCCCACATTACGGCACGTAATGCCACTGTACAACGTAACACCCACTTTTCACTATTTATGTTATGAGCCCATGTTATAGGAGGTGAGCCTATTGCCATACAATTCCAGACTCCGTACTACTACTGAGATTTTTTTAAAAACGTAGTAACATTTTGCCCGTCTCAGGAATCGAACCCGAGACCCCTTGCCGCCAGTCGCACTTGCGACCATCGACCAACGAGGCAGTCTATGTATAAAATCATGTCAGTGTATAAAAAACAATGATACATTAATTATTATGATTTACCCTTACTCACGGAACTGTTTTTCAAAATTATAGTCGAGTTCCTAGTAAAATTAATATATATATATATACGTATAAAAACATAATAATAATATATTAAATATTTCTCACGAAAGTTATAATACAAAACAAAATGTCAACAGTACCTTGTATAGGGTCAATTATATTTCAATTCTTCATATCATTTACTATTATTAACTGTCCTTCTAAAAAGAAAAAATTGTTCAAATACAAAGACCGTTTTACTAAAATATCTCATGTACTTACAACATAAGCCATTGCTTCTCTTGTTTTTAATTCAGCACAATTTCCTGTCTAGACTAGAAAGTTCTTATAAAACTAATCTCGTTGTGGTCTTTAAAAATAAGTACCTAACAAAATATTTGTCTAGCTAGTTTTGTACCGTATTTGAAGTAATTATACATTAACTACTAACGATTATTTATTTTTTTAACCAATCACAAGTTCATTCTGTTTCAAATATGGTTTATCTAACTTATTATTTTTATTGTACATTCAGTCAAAAAAGTATCGGGAATGGATGATTTGTTTATGGTATCAAATTAATTATTTTGTTTTTTTAAAGTTGTTAGATTGGCACAACTGTTTTCCATTTTGGCGCTGAGTTTGAGTTGCATCTGTTATTTATATTAAATACAGTGCTGGTTTTAGTAATATCATATACATATCATATGTATCTAATACTAAGAATTTTATTTTATTTTTAAAGTAACATAATAGCGTGTTTAATTTTGATTTAAAACGTAGGTATAATGATGAAGTTCTTTATTAATTATACTCAAAAATATTTTTCACTAATACATTAGATATAATCTTTGGACAATATTTTCTTATATTTCTCACGCTTTGATCTCCATTACAGGGTCTGCTGACACTCTGCCCGACATCTATTAGAGCCTCCCGGTTCGAGTCAGGAGCTATCAACTTGCATGCGTCTAGACCAGTGTCAGATTCTCGCCAGATCTTTACCACAGACCCTCAGAAATGGCCTCTGAACCAGCCTATCGCTAAAGTGGAGTCTTTAGTAAGTAAATTAAATGGTTGAACAACGTTTTAAAATGTTGTTAGTCCATCTTTTAAAATATACTGTAAACGGATTTATCTTGTCCAGATCCAATGTGCAGGAGAAGCACAGTACACCGAAGACATTCCATCTTTACCACAAGAAGTTTTTGCAGCGTTTGTGCTAACAACGGTGGCTGTAGGTACAATCACCAAAATCGATCCAAGTGCTGCATTGGTAAGTTATGATTTTTGATTATGAGTTTAAATATTAGGATCCAAAACATATTCAATGTCCAAAATTATATTTTACATAACTATTATTTTTTATAGGCATGCCCAGGTGTTGTAGCTTTCTACACAGCAAAAGACATACCAGGACTAAATTCTTTTACACCAGCAGAGAGTTTACTGTATCAAAGAAACGAAGAAGTACTATGCGATGGAAATGTCAAATATTATAATCAACCTTTGGGCATAATTGTAGCAGAAACCCAACACTTAGCTGACAGAGCTACCAAACTGGTCAAAGTAACTTACAAGAACGTCAAAAAACCAGTAACAGATATAAAAGTAGCCAAAGCTGATAGTACTAGGAATACTCTTTTTACTTCTGTTGATGCTGCTAGCCCTGGTACTGATGTGTTCAAAACTATTACTGGAAGCAGCACGCTGTATGGACAGTATCCTTTTACTATGGAAACCCTGGTTTGTTTGGCCAAACCAACTGAAGAAGGATTAGAAGTGCACTGCGCTACTCAATGGCTTGATGGAACACATGTCATGATCTCAAGAGCTTTGAAAATGGAAGAAAACAAGTACGTTAATCAGTTAATAGTACAAAGAAGTTTGACCTATAGGATGGTTTTAGTGACACGCTGACCATACGTACCTATAGCCGAAATTTATGATTTTCTAGGTAGCGTTTTTTAATGACACTTAGCTATCAGCGCGACACTAAAACCAGCCATAGGTTTATTTCTACAATTTGAGTTCATTTTATGAGCCATGACCTTTTGGTTTAAATTAGTGTCTCATAAACCTGTAACTTTCTAGTACGTACTAATTAGTAATTACAGGTCTTATTTTAATGAAGAATCCTAGTAAGTCTACATTTATGTTCGACCTTTATCGAATTCCATTTGTCATATAATTTAAATAATTATAGAATTGTATAGTTCATCCTAGCATTTGCTACCTACCTAGGTGGTTGATTGAGGAAATGTGATTATTTTTCCAGAATTGATTGCTACGTGCGTCGTATTGGCGGTGGATACGGCATGAAGATATCTCGCAGTATCCAATCAGCCGTGGCTTGCAGTCTCGTGGTACAGAAGCTGAATCGTCCCTGCAGGTTCATTCAGCCATTGACCACGAATTTCAAAGCAGTCGGCAAAAGATTACCTTGTGTCAATGATTATGAGGTTTGTATTCAATTGCGTATGAATCATACACATCTGTTTAATAAAATGTTATTATACTGTACACAACGATGCGGCAAGATACCTACTACTATTTTTAAAAATTGCCTTTTATACGTTTACATAATTATGCTATTCATATTAAACATCTTCGTCAAATGTTTATCTACAAACATGTAGTCAACTACGTTAACGTGGTCGCAATATAGGATTATTATAATGTCTATTGATTCAATAATTGCACTTGCATTCAGATCGCAGTGAACAATGCAGGAGTAATCCAACGCTTAGACACGACCATTTATGAAGACAATGGTTATACTATCAACGAGACCCTCACAGCTCTGGGTGCAGGCGTCTACAATAACTGTTATGATGCTACCAAGATGAACTTCAAAGCATACGACACTATCACTGATATGGCCAAAAATACATGGTGTAGATCGCCAGGTAGGCCTAAGAAACTTATTTATTTATGTGGTGTTTAGATGGGTTGCCGACATGAATTAAGCTAAAGTATAATAACAACTATTAGATAAAGGATAATTGTATTTAAATAATAAATATTTTACAATCTTTCAGGTACATTGGAAGCCATATCATTTATGGAAAACATATTAGAAAGGATTTCCTATGAGCTATCTTTAGATCCAGTGGCCGTGCGTTTGGCTAATCTCGACTCAACGCTAGCTGAGGAATTGAGAGGAATGGTTGATACTCTCAAAAAAAATTCAGATTTCAATACTAGACGAGCAGCAGTAGATTCGTTCAATACTCAGAACAGATGGAAGAAACGAGGACTGAGGTGGGCTTTTGCAAGATGGTCGCCAGTTGGTGCACAACGCTTTGATATAAACTTATCAGTCTTCCAAGCCGACGGAACTGTAATCATAACACATGCTGGTGTGGAAATGGGACAAGGCATCAACACTAAAGCAGTGCAATTAGCTGCCTACTTCTTAAAGATACCCATAGAGAAAATACAAATTAAAGGAAACAACACAATTATTACTCCAAATAGTTTTATTTCTGGTGGAAGTTTGACAACAACATCTGTGCTAATTGGACTGAAGAGGTGTTGTGATCAGTTGAATGAGAGGTTGGCACCCATTAGGGCTACTTTGACCAATCCAACATGGGAGCAAGTGATCACAGCCGCTTACAATGCCGATGTCGATCTCCAGGCACATGGGTTTTCAGGCTTACTTGACGCTCAAGTTTACAACGTTTATGGAATGTGTTTGGTTGAAACGGAAATTGATATATTGACTGGAGAATCTGAAGTACTGAGAGCAGATATTCTACAAGATGTCGGTTTTAGTATCAGCCCTGAAATTGATGTTGGACAGGTAAGTTCACATCATATTGTTTTTAAAATATTTTTAGATGTCTGGTGATTCTAATGATTGTAACCACAACCCTTAATTATGAGTTTTGCAATAAATAGACAAAAGTATTATAATGTGATTAGGGTCTTAAAAATAATATAAAAAGGCACACATACATAATTTTACTAAAATATTATTTTAAGTCTGATCAAATTATTTTCTTTATTAAGGTGGAAGGTTCTTTCGTAATGGGCCTTGGCTACTGGACCTGTGAGAGGCTGCAATATGCTGAAACTGGACAAATCCTCACAGACAGGACCTGGGACTATCACATACCTCAGGCGAGAGACATACCTCAGGACTTCAGGGTCTATTTTAAGAAGAATTCTTACAGCAATGACATCATTTAGGATCCAAAGGTAGGAACTAAAATGTTTTGTTACATTAATTATTTTTTGTAGAAGAACGATTGAAACTTGATATCTTGCGCTTATATATCAATTGATACATGTTTTGACGAACACTTGTGAATTATAATAAGTTTACGTTTAATTATCTACATCTGTACATGCTTGCACCTCGAATATACGATAATTAATAAACGAAATAGTTGATTTAATAACTTCTGCTGACTGCCTCGTTGGGCGAGTGGTCGCAAGCAAGGGGTCTCGGTTTCAATTCCCGGGTCGGGCAAAGTATTACTTGGGCTTTTAAAAATTTTCAGTAGTAGCACGGAGTCTGGAATTGTGCCCGGTGTATGCCAATAGGCTCACACCCTATTACATGGGACTCATAACATTGTGAAAAGTGGGTGTTACAATGTAAAGTGGTATAATGTACACCTCTGCCCCCCTTCGGGAATATAAGGCGTGATGTTATGTTATGTTTGATTTAATAATAAATTAAATACTTTTCAGCAACTGGAACCAGCCATCTGTTCTACAGTGGCTGTAGCGTTCGCCATCAGGGAAGCCATCGCTCAGGCCAGGCAGGAATCTGGTATTCCGACCACTGACTGGTTTAATATTGGTATGTAGCAACTTTATGATTTACTGTCAATACCACGTCAATACTATAAAAAACATTGACGCTTGTAAGAGGCTTAACTCATATAAATTAATTTATGAGAATGAGTCATGTTTTTTACGTTTAGACTGTCTCTTTGGCTGAGTGGTCGACTGCCGGGCAAAAGGACTCGAGTTCGATTCCCGGGTCGGGCAAAGTTTTAATGGGTTTTTTAATAATTCTCTGTAGAAGCACGGAGTCTGGAATTGTGCCCGGTATATGGTAATAGGCTCACCACTTACATGGGACTCATAACATGAATAGTGAAAAGCGGGTGTTACATTGTACATTAGCATTAAGTGCGGTAATGTGCACCTCTGCATACCGATACCGAAAGGCGTGATGTTATGATAACTATTTAATTCACATTATTTTTTTTTTTCAGATGGGCCGTTCACAACGGAACAGATTTGCATGGCAACCAAAACCAAAATTCAAGACTTCAAGTTTAATTAGTACCTTATCTATTAAAAAAGAAATATTTTCGTTTTCTATCAATTTGTTGCTTTTATCATTACTTACCCAATCGTTTACTTTTTTATTTGTTTTTATGTTTGATTTTTTTTCGATACATAATAATTATGTGTAGTCAAAGGCAAAGTAAGCTGCCTGAAATTTTGTAATCTCAACCTTAATACCAAACAATAGAGTTTAAGTTTGAGTGTTGCTTACTTTTCTGTTGTATGTACAAATTGTTGTCTTACAATTTTTATTTTACCTATGATATACATAATTACCTACTATTATATACACGTCTTATGTAATTTTTAGTGTATGTAGAGAAATTATGTCTATAAAGGCTCTTTATACAAAACTTAAGCCATATTTACATTACAAAATAAATGTTTTACTTAAAAAAAGGTATTTTATTTTGAAAAATAACATTCCTCCTGTTAAACAAGCCTCAAAGGAACATATACTATTGTAACCCCCATGTAATAAAGTCGACAATACACTTTCTTGATGATTTTCAATATTCCTGTCCTTATAATCGTTGATGATGATGATCATCAGTCGAAAAGTCAGCACTGCCGAATGCCACCGTAAGGATGGGCCTGCGGACGGTGAGCACGGGTAACTCGCCGCCCGACCAGAACCAGACCCGAGCGTACGGCGCGTCGCGTACCGCGCGCGCCTCATGGAGCCATCAGACCCCCACTCTCACAGGGCTGATGCCGATACGGAGCCGCGGAAGACTTAATGGGTTGCCGAGGCTCCGGCTTGAAGTGCAGGAGAAGGAACGGGGTGGTTTTTAGTCAGTAAGAGTCTGACATTCCCTCTCGCCGGGAGGGCGAGAGAAGGCATTGGATAATGTTCCTCGCTTAAAAAAAAGGAATTCCGTTTTTTTTTTTAATTTTGCCTCACTCTAAGATTGTCTCCTGTGTCGTGGGTGTGTTTACAAATATACCTACAAGTTCATATACACATGACACCTAGACCCGAAACAACAATTCGTGGATCACACAAAGAGTCTCTGTGCGGGACTCGAACCCGCGGCACGTCCAGCCACCACACCAACCGTGCCGCAATCATAACCCGTCACTTTCAAATTAGTTGCATAATTTTAATCACTTGAGTAAATAATTTCATCATTTACAACTTAGGTTTGCCCACTGCTAGCCCTTAATTAAGTTTAATGTTATATAGTTACTTAACATTTACAAATTCTTAAACATTTGAGTATTTTACGATGTCGATGACTTTTCAGCGGTGACAGTAAAAGATAGCACTAATGAAGTAATTATACTTTCATGTAGTAAAATTAAAATAATTGCTGTAATCAATTGCTTTTCCAAATACTTTATCTGAACAAGTTTGAATGAAAAGCGGTCGATTATGTAAATGCAACTAATTAGGCCAATAAAATGTTGTTAAAAATCATTTTTAAGATAGGTACCAGCCACAGTCAAATGTTAATAGGTACTTGTTAATCTTTAAATTTATTTTATCTGATGGTCAATAAATTCAAGGATTGGAGGTTGGCCTAAGAGTACCTTGGTAACAAATGGTTTTGGGATTGTATTATTAGCTCGTTAAAACAATGTTAGTTTTGCAGCTATTTTTAAATTATCGACTAGAGACGACAAGGCTTTTTTTAAGAGGGGAATATCATCTAATGACTTCTCCCGTCTGGGTGAGTAAAGGGCAGTATCAGACTCTTACTGACTAAAAAACCACTCTGTTCTACTCCTGCACTTCGACCCGGAGCCCCGGCCATTAAATCCTCCGCGACTCCGAATCGGCATCAGCCCTATTGGGCCCCATCTGTGGTGGTTTAATGGCTCCTTGAGGCGCGGCAATCCCATGATTACGTCTCGCGATCCTCGACACCCAGTGTCTCTCATGACGGCAGGGGAATGAGGAAGTTCGTTCCTTACGCACTCCAGCTCCTTCTTATCGGACGCGAGAGGTCACCGTCGCCGATCACATTCCTGAGGACATGGCAGTGCTCAGCCCACGCAGGGTACACCGCCACCGTATGCTGTAGCGTAGACGTTCGATAAACGTCGCGCAGACGCCACAACTTCTCGGCGCAGGCGTCTCTGTACATACGTTTATCGAATGCCTACGCTGGACTAACATCAACAGCCTATAAGTGGCCACTGCTGACCAAAGGCCTCTTCTCACACGGAGAAGGTTTGAGGATTAATCACTACGCTTGCACATTACGGGTTGGCGATATCAAACTTATAATTAAAAATTATAATACCAGATATCCTCACGATGTTTTCCTTCACCGTTCGTTAGTGGTGTCTAAATAATCTAAGGAAGAGCCTACTTACAACACTGAAAAGTTACATTGGTACATTACTATTGGTAGGGGTCGAACCCTCCCCGCATGCATGAGAAGCGAGCCTTCATTTCACGCTGGACAAACGCTAGTGTGTCACTCCATCTATTAAAAAAACGCATCAAAATCCGTCGCGTAGTTTTAAAGATCTAAGCATACATAGGGACAAACAGACGGCGGATAGCGACTTTGTTTTATACTATGTAGTGATAGTAAAACCCCAAAATGCCAGGATAGTTATTTTTTAAGTTGTTAGTAACATACACCTCTTTCCACTTGTTTTATTCACTGATAAGCTAACCTACTTAACAATGCATTATGTTCTATTTGGAATCAATAGAATGTGGGCATTAAATGGTTTATGTCAGTGTGTTAACATAAAATAAATCGAATAATGGCGTAATGGTATACATAGGAAAAGCCTGGGGTTAAAATATGTTACATTATATAATATATAGTTTTATGTTTAACAAGCTTTTTTTAAGGGGGAGAAATCATCGAATGACTGCTCCCGCCTGGGTGAGGCGGAAGGGAGTGTCAGACTCTTACTGACTAAAAACCATCCCGTTCCTTCTCCTGCACGTCGAGCCGGAGCCCCGGTTACCCGTTAGGTTCTCCGCGACATATTTAACTAGCTTACATTGTATACAATTACGTGTCTAGTTATCAACTTGAAGAGTTCTATAACAATACTATTTCATTTGTTCTATGCGCACGTGCCAAGCAGTCGCGCCAGTAAAGAAGTGAAGTAATTAATTAATTTTACAATGGATAGAGTGAGATTCAAAATTAATGGACATGAATATTCTGGTGAGTGACTTGATATCAAACCATAACTAACACAATATTTTGAAAACATTAATATTTAACATATTTTTGTCATAGTCGCTATAGCCATGCTTCATGAATGGGCCGACTCGACCGATGTGATACCACGGCCTCACAGAAAACCGACGTGAAGCAACGCTTGCGTAGTGTTTCTTCGTGTGAGTGAGGCCCAACTACTGAGTTTACTAAATTACTGGAGATCGGGGAGGAGCCTCAATCTCCTGAATCTCCGAATCTCCAACAATCCTAAATTTAATAATCCCCAAAAGGCGGGTAACGTACTTATCACGACTCTGGTGTCCATGGGCGGCGCCGATTGCTTACCATCAGTGATCCGTCTGTTCGTTGACCAGCTTATTCCATAAAAAAGACCTTCTCAATGTACTTATGCTAACATTGCTAAATAAAATTGTAGTCGGCTGTGAGGTGAGTTCAACTGTGATGCTGTTGGAGTACCTACGTGATCACCTGGAACTTCGCGGCACCAAGTATATGTGCAGGCAGGCGTCCTGTGGCGCATGCATTGTTACAGCACGACGACCACCTGCATTACCGTATGCTATTAATTCGGTAAATATGTGAATTATATACTTTAATGTAGTTTGTCGTTACAATAAACTTGTTCTACAATCGATAAAATTATGCACATTATACTGTTCGAATGACGGAAATATACAAATATACTTACAAACATAACCTCACGCCTCACACGCCTGTCTCTAAGGGGGTTG